GCGCGCTCGGCCGCTAGCTCCCGTCCAGATGCCTGGCGAGGAGGGGCGTCGGAGGTCGAGCGCTCGGCCCGACTCAACCGCTGGGCGTTGCGGCGACTGGCGCGTCTTCTGATGGCGCCACCTTCTCCGTGGATGACGAGGCCGACGAGGGCGCGGTCCACGAGCGACGAGGCGGCGGCGGTCCTAGGGCTTCGGCAGCCTACTTTGAGGCGCGTCGACACGTGCGCGCGCGGCAGCGGGCAGCCAGCCGCCAGCGCGTCGGGGGCGCTCGCGCGCGCGCCTGGCGGCGCGCGAGCCGCAGCGTCGGCTCAGCGCGCTGCGGCCGGGCAGCGCGCGTGCATGCTGATGGGGAAATGGCAGCGGCATCGTGGGTACTTATCCCTGATCTTCCTGCCGCTTCCGTATCCAATGTGTCCGTGAGAGTGCTCGCCTATGTTGATCTTGCAGCGACTATTGACCACTGCGACCACGCCTGACATCATGCTCTCCCGACTGCCGCGCTACGGCATGCCTCCCAGCCGCCGCGTGCCACGTGGCGGATCTTGCGAAAAAGGGCTGGGATGAGGGAGGACCGATGGACGCGCAGTTCCTGGACGCATGCTGATGCATGATATCTGTCGGAGGTCGGCTGGCGCTCGTTACCTGATAAAGCGGTGAGCTTGCTGGCCTGCTCGACGGTGGCTGCGCGCGGCGTGCGTGGCCGCTGACGAAAGCCGCCGGCCGCGTCGTGGATGGCAGATCAATTCTTGCTGCCCTCGGTCAGTCCGCCCGCGATCACGTCGCTGGTATCTTCCCAGCTCAGGGCCCATATTTGGCCAGAGCTCAGGAGGTCGTGGGGCCACGGCGCGCGGGGCAGTAAGGGGCGTTCTGCCGGAAGCTTAGGTCTCGTAGTTGTGGCGGCTGCGACCGCCCCCATCGAGTCGAAGCAGAGCGCAATTTGCATGGCGAGCGGCTAATGGCCACCTCGTTGGCGACGTGCTGCAGGTCCACGAGGTCCTTCGAGTACTTCATGGCTGGCGGTGGCCAGAGCGAGGCCGCGAACCTTTGAACTGATCGCGGCCATCCGCTCACTTGCCAGGGTGCTTCGCGCGACTGTTCTGAGCGCCCCGCGCTTCCAGCCCAGCAAGTGACGCGTTTGTTTGCCAGCGCATATTTGGTAAGCGCCCGTGTTTTCGGTGCCCGTGCGCAAGAATGTGGCTCTTTGCAGGGCTCGTCTTGTTTCGGCGCCCTCCTTTTGATCCTTTCGGAGTGCTGCGTCGCTGTGTGTTTCGTGTTTTAGTGCGCAACGCATGGGTGGATAATGGGTGCGTAATGGCGCAGCCTGTGCCCCTCCCGCGAGCGCGTTGAGCTTCCGAATGTGGCCGCGCGTTGGCGCCGCTGCGCGGTGCTGAAGTGCGACTGCGTAGACGTGCAGATCGATCCGGGTGGTGACCGTGAAAGCCAGGGCCATTCGCAGACTAAGGTAGCTTCCGCCGGGTGTCAGCGCCTGAATGCATTCGATCTGTCCCAGCTCGTATCCGCCGTTGTGCGTCGGGGAACGCCGTGTTCCACCGCGCCTGCCAGTTCCAGCTCACCTGTGCCGAAGGCATTCTTTGAGCATTGACGTAAATTTGCTTTTCCCCGCGGTGATTCTGTGACTTTGATGACGTCGACATGTTTGGTGACCATCAGAACGAGATCGCCGTATTTGTGTATGGCGATGAACTCGTTGTCGCATGGTGCCGGGATGGTTTGGCATCTGTCGTTGGTGATCTTGGTGAGTTGGTTTGACTGGCGTCCCGGGTCACCTCTGCGCCTGGTGCCTGGTGTCTCAATGTGGATAACTGTGCTGGGTCGACGTCTTCGTTCCCATTTTCTCTGCGCAGGACTGCGACGGCGTCCGGGGAGAGCTCGAGCTCGAATTTGAACCGTCCAAATAAAACAGTAATACTTTGAGTGTGATCCTCAGGCCATCGAACCATACTTTGATACCATCGCAATCGCTGGATAAGTAATTCGTGCCGAGTCGGAATCAGATAGAGCCAGCGACACGTGCGTCGAATCGACCAGGATCTCGGATGGGATCTAGTCCGGTCGCAAACAACGCCATGCGCAATCGACCGAATTTTACGAAGTAGCACGACGTCGAGTTCGCACTCCTGAGCAGGCGTGAGCAGGAAGGGAGTGAGGATCGAACGGAGGGCTCCCTGGACAACGCTGATGAACAGGATGCGCTTGACCTTCCAGGGCGCACGACTGGGCCAGAACTCTTTGTAGGCACACCACCTACGAGCACAAGCACTTTTTGACGCCAGCATCTGCGGACCAAGCGTACCAGCAGGCATAAAGACCGGGCCCAGGTAGCGTGCGTGGGGAGAACTCGAGCACCTCCGACTTCAGCATCAGAGAGACGACGGTTGTCATGAGAACCTTTCAAGTTCGGAGCAAGAGCCTGCTTCTTGAGGTTCAGTTTGTGGCCGCGCTGCGCCAACATCGACGCACTCAGACGCTGTTCGAGCTGGATAGCCTCCACCGCCTCCTCCAGGCGGCCTGAGGATAACGTGAGAAAACGGTGGAGGTCGTCAACGTACTTGTTAAGGATCGCGTCGATCGGCTGGGGCACCAGAGGGCACGACGCCATCAAGGACGTCTGTGGCGACCAATGTCGCCACGCGTTGACAGGCTTGGCGAAGTCCATGCGAAAATCATCGGGGGCAGACGTCACACTCATCAGCGCTTTACTCTTCAAGCGTAGGTGTACATCACTGTCGACGGCTTTGATGTGTAGTACGTGCGTACGTCGACGATCCTCCAGCAACAGAGCATCAGCGTAAGGCAAGTATTCTCGTAGTCCTTCATTCGTGCGATCGTGATCACAACAGCCGTAAGCATGTGTCATGTCGTTCAGCACCGCAGCGAAACGTTTTATATTATTTCCCTTAGTTTTTTTGTCTCCACGAAGTGCACTGTACACCTAGAGGGCTCCTTCTCACGGCGGCGATGAGGGACGCATCCACGATCAGCGTGGCGGGCGGTGCCAAACGATATCGAGCGATAGATCCCACGACAGACTGCAGGACGCAGCAGGCTAAAGCCATGGAGAAGGCGTGTTTCACCAGCAGTCTTAGGAGATTGCCAGACGTTGGAATACCCCGCCGAGCAGTAGCGGGCGCCGTGAACGTCTCCACGATATATTGGTGGTGTCGGGGCTCTCGACTCTGTAACCAACACCTTCTGGTCCTCTGCGTCTTCGGCTGCAGTAGTGCTGGGCAAGCGTGAGCAACTACAGTTCATCTGGTAGGCTCCGTCCTGGAACAGGCGATCGTTTTCACATTCATTGTTTCTCCCCCCTCCTTCCCCCCCTCCCATGGAGCAGATCTTGGCTGTTTTAGGCGCCTGTTTCGAGCAGGTGGAGCCCCCCCCCACCAGGGCGCACTCTCGCAAATAGTCGCACGCATCATCGTCGACCCCACACCAGGCCACGGCCCCGATCTTTTGCGAACGCGAGTTCACGAGAAGCCGCTCCTCTTACCTCCTCCTCGTCCTCGTCCTCGTCCTCCTCCTCCTCCTCCTCCTCCTCCTCCTCCGCATCCTTCCCCTGCTCTTCCTCCCCATCCGCATCCTCCACATCCGTCTCCTCATGCCCCTCCTCATCCTCCTCGTATTCCTCCTCGTCCGCCTCCGCCTCCTGTTCCTCCTCCTCCTCCTGCATCGATGCTCCATGAACAACTCCTCCCTGCCGCGCCCCCAGACGTGAGATAGGGCGGAGAGAGTACTACGCCTGATAACTCCTCACAACTTTTAGTAGCCTGAACCATCTGATGGGTTTTGATATTGCCGTGTCCCCTTAGTCCTCCTCCGCCTATTCCTCGCCCTCCTTCTTCCTATCTTCCTCCTCCTCCTCCGCGGCATCGTTCCCCTCGTTATGCTCCGTCCTCCTTTCCTTGACCATAGTACCCCAAACCTCTCCGGGGGTGAGTTTGGACGGGATATCAGAAAGGACTTCAGCCTCGGCAGCCAGGGCGTTTGAGAGGAACGACTCGCCCGTCCCACCGCTGAGCCACCACATCCGAGCATCGCGCACCGCGATGTGCACGACGCGCTCAGGCTCGCCCTCTCGAGCCGCCCCCTGGAGCAGGGCCGCCCTCTGACCCGGGCAGCGACGCACGCATAGTGGTCACCTTCGCGCCCCGGCGTGCGATCTGGCCCTTCGCCTCCCCCCCATCCCCCCTCCCCAGACCACCCTTCGCCATCGCGCCATGGGCAGGGATCACATCGACAAACAGGCAGCAAGCTCGACTGCACAGTGGCGAAGCCTCCCCAGGGCTCGGGCCCCTCCCCATCCTCATCCACCCCGTCGTGTTACTCCTCCAGTGTTCGCCTATACTGATCCTCCCCCTTCCACCTAGTATCGTATTACTCCTCTTCCCCATGTTCAAACAATCGTCGTCTTCATCGCCAGCATAATCAGCATCACCGTAACCATCACCGTCCCTCGTCAATACTCCCGCATCCGTAGCTCCCATCAGCCCCCTCCTCCCCTCATGTTCGTCCTCCTCATGGTCCTCCGCATCACCCTCCGCCCCCTCCCCCTCCTCCTCCTTCTCCTCCTCCTCCTGCTTCTCCTCCTGCTTCTCATCCTCCTTCTCCTCCTCCTCCTCCTGGTTCCTGGTTGCTGGTGGCTATGGAGTTATCCTCCTACTCCTCCTCTTTCCCATCCCTCTCCTCCTGCTCAAACCTATTTCAGATGCAGAAAGAAGTATATAGATACCCCCCTAAACGGACCTCCACTTTTTACATCGCAGCAGCTTCTGATGGGCGAACGGGGGCCGCGCGCCGCCTGGTTGTGGGGTGCGCCTGCGAACCTGTGGCAGCATCATGGTGGTGAGGATTGTTTGGACGATGACCTGGGTGATGGCGATGATTAGCGCTGGTTCTGGCGTCGGAGAGAGGGAGCGTGATGGCATCGGAGCGGGTCAGAGGTGAGCAATCATAGTCGACTGACATTGCACTGGTGCTAG